CTGCAAATTGTTACGCAGTCATTGCTTTCACACGACATTTTTCTGGTGCGAAAACGTCTATGCGGAATTAGTGCTTCACGAGAAAACTTTCCCGTCAAGAACTTACACTCGCCATCGTCTTTACTGCAAAAGTTTTGAAGCCATTCTTTATACACGGCACTATTTCTGCTGCAAAGATTTAAACACGACATTACTGTTACAGCAGACTTGTGGTCAAGTATTTGCTGTAGACCTAATAGCTGCTATGTGTTTTGCATGCCAAGTTTTGTCGTGTAGTATCGATGTCGTTCTAAGTCTTGGCAGTAGAGTTAATGTCGCGTCTGAGTAAAATCTGCATGAGTTTTGCAGCCGAAGTTATGTCGCGTATATCTGATCAGTTTTGCCATGCATCAACGTCGTGACACTCCTGCCGGTAGGACTTCTTGCCGAAGCGCCGATGTCGTGACACCATTTCGTATGTAAACAAAAGACAATGGAAACGTCTGCTGCAAAACACAAATCTATCTCGGTGCCGTAAAAAGCATCCCAGATTGCCTAAGTGTCACACAAATTCAGGACGGGCTAATTATGCGACAACGAGTCATGCATACGTTGGTGTTCACCAAGCTTCGATGCGGGATTTCGCAGGTAAATATTGTTTAACTACGTTTGCAATGCATTTAATCGTTGTGCTTCTGCGTGGGAAAGCTTAGAATATATATTGCCGAAAAGGTGTTGATGAAATTAAAGGTTCTGGCTCTAAGTTAAGTACATTGGACCACTTCATGCTTCACGTTTTTAACGTCACTTGTTCTTTCTACCCCGTCATGTGTAACTTTGCGTTTACGTGCCTCTGGTAGTTCCAGATATTGAACTCCAAAATAAAGTAAACGTCAGAAAGCTGCTGCTTTCTTCCTACAAGGAGCTCCCATTTACAAAGCGCTAATCCCAACCCTCGCCCCCGCCTTTCGGAACAGACGCGAATTATCATGTATGCGTCAAAAACATAAATATACATAATTGTCTTGAATTAACCCGAAAAGCGCGACTCTTTGAAAGCTGTCCTGACTCCAACATTTCCACGCTGTGCTGAAAGGCGCGCACCATTTATTGATGTCATTGGCTTAGCACTGAGAGGAAAAGACAGTGAGACCAGGTTGTCTGACTATCTGTGAATTGCACATTTGATGTAGGAAGAAAGTTCGGTATTATGGATTTTAAGTTCCTCTGTTAACGATATCAAACAATCGTAGGTGACTACGTCAAAGCTCGCCTTTTCCATTTGTGCTCCTTGGATTCCCACCCAGCTGGTCGAGCAAGACCATCGCCTTTGATCTCTGGAATTGAGCACGGCGCGTACGACATTCACCGCCCTGACCAGGCCCTACTGAAACCCCAAGGAAACTGGTGACACGTGATAACGTGCACAGTCTTCTCAATGTGTACTGCCCCACGGCGTGTTAGGTGCTCTGCGTAGTCCCTGATATGGTAAGGATCAGTGGTCTCGTCTTGCCTACTCTAGCATCATCAAATGGCGGTTATCATTGCCGCCATTGGCTTTTTGGCGCTGCCCCTCCCCTCTCGCCTGTGGCTCGACGGCTTTGAGCCGCTGTTTCCCAGCCTCCGGTGGCGGAGTCGACGGGTTCAGTTCTCATCGGCGCTCGTTATTTGTCTGTGGCTGGGATGGCCTGCAGTCTGCGACTGCGGACGCTCAAGATCAGATAAGGTCAGGAGGTAGGACGAGAGACGTGTCTAAATGTGCCGTAGGACTGGAATTTCGTGATGGGATGGTGGGTCAGGGCTCACACAACAAACAAGGTTTGGTGTTATTTCGGATCCCAGAAAACCATGCAATCAAAATGTTCCGACTACAATTGCAAAATGATAAAGTAATCCTACTGAAAATGTGATACATGATCGGCATGCCCATTACTCGCATGACGTACTCGTTGAAACATGCTCGATATACACAAATATGCCGGTAGGCACGGCGCGTCTTTCTCTTCATATCCTCAGCTACCGTGGTTGTCAAGCAATGCGCAAATGTACGAATATTTTGTTCATAATTTGCATTGATGGTTGACTGTTAACCTGACCATGGAGTCATGGAACACTGTGCCGGGAACAGCCCGCCTTGCCGTGATGTCCCCAGTGACCCGTCTTTGGTGGTCTCCACGCTAAGCTGCTGCCATCCCGCCAGACAATATCCACGAGACATCGTTTCTTGTCGCATGACGTCAGCTATTTATGAAGCCTCCTACCGGGTATGTCTGCTCTCGAACAGCTTTTCATGTTAAAGCGTCGGTCGTAACATGCCCCGCATATGATGAGTTTTCATAGCTGTCACTGCCTGCTGATTTTGCTTTGTTGGGCGCATGCTCTTGATTCCGACACATGGCCATAACTGTCAAGTGAGGTTCACGACCTAGGCAATCACGGTCTGGAATGCTGGCACCGCGCTGGCCCTGTCATCAGTGAATGATGACCCCGAGCGAGCACCATCATCTGACCCTAGCGTCTCCGCTTGTCCACATGGTACAACAACCGGCAAAGAAACGAAATGAAACTTCTTGCTCGTCTTTTGCCGTCGAATTTCATGCATTTTAGCCCCGTGGTTGTAGACGAAGAATATATATCTAGAACTGGATGAGCAAGACCTGATATGCATGGTAGCTAACAGCCAAATCCAAAGAATACCAATGCTGGTTTCTAGTTTATTAAAGCAATTGTGTTCTGTGAATAGTATCTGGTTTACGAAACTTATTATTTGTGTTCGTATAAGTGATATAGCAAGATTTATTCGCTGAAAATAGATAGATATCTTGGAAAATATTGCATTCTTTATGCCGACTAGTTAAAGAGAGTGCTCGGCACTTGTGTGGGAGCTGTATTGAAGGCCGTTGTACTGATGGCCATTTTGAAGGCCATTGTATCGATAGCCATTTGGAAGAACATTCGGTGCAATCACAGCCTCGCCTTTCTTAAGCCCTAAACCCTCTAATTTCTGGGCTGGACGACCGCGAATTTGTGCATGTTATTTAGTGGTGACTATTTCAAGGTCACCCAGGCTTGCATAACGCCATAAAAACGTCACTCAAATACAGCCATCCCACTATCTATGCGGCGTTCATGGTTAAGACAAATATGATTCTCAAGTTATTCGTTCGGGCGTACGTGAGTGATTTCTGGAACCAGAGGTCTTTACTGCCCCTTAAACAATGTGATGCATTCAGTACTAGCTTCAGACACCGATCACGTTCTGTGCCACATAATTCAGGAAGTTGGTAGTCGTACTAGTTATTACGGAAATAAGACTTGTGACCGAATAACCAAGAATTGACTCCTGGTGTCGGGTTTCGGAAACAGCAAGAGCCCAGGAGCCGGCCTGATAATTAGCCGACGTGTCCATTAGGAACCAGGATACAGCCTGATATTAAGCCGAAAAATCAAGCAAGAACCAGAATCCAGTCTCATTGTTAGTCAAGAGACCCAGCAAGAACTATGATCTAGCCCGACAACAAGCCAAACGATCCAGCAAGAACCAAGATACTCTCTGACACAGATCCAACAAATCCACTGAGAACCAAGACCCAGCTTGGCATTATGCCAAAAGATCCAGCAAGAATCAAGATCCAATCTGACATTATGTCAAGGGATTTAGGAAGAACCAAGATCCAGCCTGAAACATGTGGAGATCCAGCAAGGCCCAAGAAACCGCTGAGGATTAAGCCGACATCCAGCAGGAGCAAATCTTTAGTCTCAAGTGGTGCCAATGTAAGCAGCAAGAACCATAATTTTACCTGAGACCCCTGGCAGCCCTGAGTTTAGAGGCCGAGTAGAGAAAATAGATAAATTTATTCCCACTTTTTGTTTTAGGTGTGGGAGGACTAAGGTCACCCAACAACATGAAACTACACCGGACACCCTGGTGCTCCTTAAAATTGATAGAAATACACGGAAACAATGTGCATTAAGCATTTCAGAAAGCTTTCCAAATCTCAGTTGTGTGATGTATCTGTGCCACAACGAGATCTTGCAAACCTTTGGCACACTTCGCAGAAGTATAGAAAATGTAGTCGTGTAAATTTAATTATTTCATTTGGTAGATGCATGTAGACTTGTCTATATAACTCAAACATCCACTTTTTGCACTTGCAACATAAGCTTTCGTCCAAGGCTGGTTAGAGAAATGTGTGCAGTCATGGAAAATTGGCGCTTTGCCTCAATAACCCCGGATTCACTGAAATCATGTTTGTTTCCCCACCTTGCTCCTGCCAACAAGTCCTTAGCAGCCACAGACACAAACGCAGGTGACCGCAAGCTTCCACGCCATCGTCTTAGCGACAAGATCAGAGAGCTCGTGCCATAACACATGAAATGACGGTGGCATCTGACTCATTTTGAACTAATCGCTTCCGCCATACGTTGTGTTTATGGCCGTTTTGGCCAAAGTAATGTAAAAAATTAGATATACCTTCTAAGGTCCCTGACCTATGACAGGTCAAAATCAGGTCGTGACTGTCGGCGAATGCAGTGTCTATGGAATCGTTCAATGCGATGCGACAATGAAGGGTAAGGCGAAGCCATACGTCTCTGAGATAGTTTATGAGACAGTAGACCAACTGAATTTATGGTCGCAACAAATTCCCTTTATCTGGGTTCAGGTTTGAAAGTCAGACAGAGCTCTAAACCAACTTGCTTTTTACTCGCGAGCTTGCTGAATGGGCCGGTTTCTGGCGCTCATTTCGAACGTTAACATTTTTTTTTACATCGATTTCGAACGTTAATTGACAACGGGGAGAGCAACTGACATTTTCCATTGATATATTTAAGGTCAGAGTAGGTTACTGACCTGAAATGATCCCGGTCGACGTTTTGCTTTTAGGAACATACCGACTAGCATGATCATTGACGCTTATTCAAATTTAAAAATCATGACAATCTCGTAGGGTTTTGGCTGCCACGAACTTCTAGAGGTCAAAACGCGCGTCTTGTCTGACCTCCCTGACCTCACCCTGCAGGTCTGTCGACTGTGGCCGACCTGTACCCGAACGAACGCGAGCGGTCGCGCGTGATGGGCCGCGTTATGGGCGCCATGGCCGTCGGCGTGCTCATCGGATACCCGTTTGGCGGACTCAGCTACGACCTGATGGGCAAGTCGCCGCCGTTCTGGCTGCTGGCCGCCCTGCTGACCGCCATGTTCGGTGAGGTGCCCGTCGTGCCGATCGCCGCGTGCCATATGCAGTAGTCTGACTCAGTAGTAATAGTAGTAGTGGTAGACGTAGTAGTACAGCATTAGAAGTAGTAGACTCCTCGCCTAGCGGGATATCGCAATGTCCCTCTTGCGATCGCGCCGGTCATCCGCTCGCAGGGTTTGGTGCAGCATGTCTGGTGATCAGCTGAGCGGGCCATCCCTCCGTGTGCAGTTACGGGCAGCCCTCCTGCTCAGTGTCTTCAGGAAAGGAACGTTAAGACAGCGCTCTGGTATAACGTGCGCTGTTGGCTGGTGGTAAATTCCCACAATGACAGGATCTTAAAGCCGCACCGACGGCGTGGTGTGTAAGTTCTAAGCTGCGACATGGATATCGCTATGTGACACGTAATATGCATTTGCGTCCTTCAGCAGCTTCCGTGTACGCTGGGCTTTAAGGGGATATCTAGCATTCGCTGCACTTGTTGTGCATAATTAGTCATACGGTTCCGATTTGATCGGTAATACCAATTTGCTCTAAATCCTTCCGAAAAGCGGTTAGCACGGGTGGCTCGAAAATGTGACCGACGACAAAGCCAACGAGCAGCCGTTCGATATGATGGGTACATCTTGGTAACCTAGGGGTCGGACCGGAGCGAAAATGTAGTCAAGCAAAGACATTGACACTCTCAGGGAGGCAATGGAATGGGGCACCGTGTGGTCCCAGATGTGCAGGAGCACGCGCCTCATGTCACGTTCACAGAAGCGGCCAAAACATTTTGCCCGGGTTTTAGGATTTTTTTGCAGTTTGTATCATTGCACAGCTGCCGAAGCAGATAGAAGTACAAATTCAAGCTCAAATTGTTGACTAACGTACCGTCTGCAATTCACGCCCTCAACTCGCGCTTGTACGACGTATGATTGCGCTGAGAAACGTCGCGCAAGCTGGGAATGTCGATTTTTCGAAAACGACGCCAGATACAACACGTCGCCGTCGAAACTTAACCAGGAACGTGGCAAAATAAGCATTACCGCATGCACCAATTCATTGCCTGCCTTTGCCACCCATACATTTATTATTCGGTGCGCATTCCTGGACATACATCAACTTGACCTAAAAGGTGTCAATTCCACAGTTCCGCGTCGTCAAAATGACACCGGCTCATTGCCCAGTCACTGGCGGTGAGTATATGAAAGGGAATTTTTCACATTTGAAGATCAATGTAAAAACTGCTCCAGACAGAACGCTTCTCTGTTGAGTAAATGTGCCTCTCAATGCGTCATGGTTTGATTACGTCATTTGACTGGATTTGAATGACATTTTTATGACGCCATGAGGGCCAACATGACTTAACAATATTCTCCCCGATATAACTTTCCCATTTGTGCCAGCGTGTAGCTTAGAAACTAGAGAGAGACTTAGGTCCTAAGAAGGGCAGGGTCGTGAACAGCACGGAAAGATCTTCAAGATGGCTTTTTGAGTTCAAACTCCCATATAAATGTGGAACACTCCCGTTAAGTAAAACAATTTAAGTCGCACGCACTGGATGTTGCCGGCGTACCGCAACCGTCGTTAATCACTTAATTAATGTAGTGGTGAATCAAATGAGCCATGAATTCATTCCATAAGCCGAGAAAGGTGAGTGATAGTAACGATCCAATGCATTACCCAAACTAATTGCTTTGAGAAATGTCAGAGTAACCAAATATATCGAGCAAAGAATAATTTGCGACGAGTGCGATAAGAAGACCTTACAAATGCAGTAAGTTTCAGCAAGGCTCACCGCTGCGGCAAAACAGCACTCCCATGTGGTTCGCGAGGGCGTGTTTTAGAGCCATCATAGAGTATGATAACACGAAAGCAGTGCAGCAGCATAGACAGGTGGCGGTGGCGACATGAGAGAGATCTTACATTCGCAGTGATAGCAAGTGTGGGTTTCTTGCGCTTTACGAATGCGTAATAACGCTCAAACTGCAGTAGATATTCGTAAAGCACGATTTGAAAGTTGACAATCGCGGATTTTGTCTTAGTAAGCAGAGCGTGAGCTCATTATTGAAGAATGCTTTAAATGATATTAATCATCATTTGTTTGTGCCGCTTTGTTGTGCCCCATCAGCTTTGTCACATGGCTAGGTGGCACGAAACCGGAAAGCGCTATGACAACGTTTTTCTCAGGTTGGAGCAACTGTCATTCCCTATAGGCTATTTGGTGGGCTATGACCCACCGATTTCCGTCAAGGTTACAAGGGATTCAACACCATGATGCCCATGACGCGGTATGAAAAATGGCTTATCGGTTAAATCTGCTTCCCACGACCTACTTACATACCTGGTAGTCAGCCCATTACACCCGGTTTCAGTCAGGCGTCCCTGCAGCTAGGGGTCGGGTCGGCCAGGAAGTCCCACGAATGGTGCTTAATGCACCCCGAAATACTGCAAACACGAATCATCCATGGAAACTCAGTCGCTTAGCAAAGCAAGCCGCAAGCACCTGTCCTACAATATTTCCAGGCCCCAGAGTTGTCGCTCAATCGCACTAATTATCTCCCATCACAATTTTTGGTACGATCCATACCATATATTGTACTGGCAAAGCAAAAAAGACAAGGCAGGTAACTGAACATATTCACTCAATTTCAAACCTTTTGTAGGTATGCGACAATGGCAAGAACACATCATGTGATATTTTGAATCTCTATACTCATGTTGCAGAATGTTGGCCTTTCTTAACAATCTCAGGTGAACCCCTCTAGTTTTCCCATACAGAGTTCAACAAAAACACTGGGCAAAAATATCATTAAATATTTCAATGACTTGCGAAAAACACAAGGCATACAAAAAGCGTCCCTTCACTTGCTGCTTGAAGATCACCAACAATTTATGTTGATGTTGAATGACAACCCCCGACTTCTGCCTTTAACAAACCACTGAAACATATATGCCGATATTGTGCAATGTAATTAAAATATTTGGCTGAACCAGCCATCAAGCGTTGAGTGGAAGCTTGTAAACATCATGGTAAACGTCCTTCATAATTTCCAGCCTCCATATTTCGCTCAAGTGCATTAATCAACCAGCCCAACTTTTGTACATTCAGCATATTCACCTTTGCGCGCAAAGCGATGAAGTAGCAGCATTACTGCGCAGAAATCAATACAGCAAGCCATTTTGGGGGTTTGCTATGATGGCAAAAGCACAACAAAACTTTTTTTTTGAAATCCTTGACTCATGCTTGACAATATCAGCTGCTCATCACCTCAGCAACACCTCTCCGGTTTTCCACTTGCACAGTTTTTACAAAAACATGGCATAGAAGTGGGCTTTTCATATATATTGGTTCAAATGAAACACAACAGGTAAAAAAGCATTGCTTCACCGCTCATATGCCACCAATGACGCATATCAGTAAACCATCACAACTTCTGAATTAGCGTCTTTTGGGCAGATGAACCGACGCGAACTGCACTGTCATCATTATTACCAGACATGTAATATTTCGGGAAAGCAAGCCATCATATGTTGCAAAGGGCTATCCGAACACCTTGTAAGCTTTCATCAGCAATTTACACGTGTTGAGGAAAATCTAACAATCATTCAAATCTACAATGAGCTTCACAGTGAGCTTCACGCTACGCGTCCTCTATGCACGGCATGACATATGGGAATGCTTAAAGAAGAAAGGAGTTCATGCGTGGTCTGAAATGTTGAGCACGTAAATTGGACTCGAAAATAACTAAAATTCAGCTGCTATTAATACATTGTTAGTGATGCAGCTCCGTTCCCCAGTGCTATTCTATTAATGGCGCATCCTTAGCGTTCACCAGACCATGCTTTTGAAATATGTTTCAAAGGTCGGACGCTTCTGTTAAACTTCTACCGGGATATCAGCTGACGCATATGCCGCCTTGGTATGCTCAAATAGATGCAGCACCGAACAGGCCAGCGACGGCGGCGGTCACGTTGGCTCCGGTCGTTTTATGGCGGTTGCGTTTATAGAAAAATTGGAGATGGAAAACACTGCCACAGGGTAGGGGGAAGGGGTGGGCTGTCACGTAACAGCTTGCCAGATTGTTACATAACCGCACTGCTTGGTAGGAGTGCCAATGTCAAAGCAAACTCTGCAAGTTGTGGCTTAAGCGGCTCGGTGCTGGTGCGTGGAGGTCTGGCCCGGTTATTCCCAGTGCTGGGGCATCAAAGCCCAACCCGGTTAGTTACGGCCCGGTCTGGTGCATGGAGGCCCGGCGGAGTTATTCTCAGTGCTGGTGCACCGGGGGCCGGACCGGTTAGTCACGATATTGGGAGGGACTCGCCTTTGGAATCAATAATCACGCTGCAATGTAGTTGGCAGCAAAGATACGCGATTTCTTCACAAATTGTGCCGTGAAAGGAAATAATTCAACAGATTGAAAGAAATGTGCACAGCAAACTGATTCAGTTGTAGTCAGATGTAGTCTTCGTACCACTTTGCAACAGCACCCAATTTACCTCTCCGATTTAGTGGGGAAGCGTAAATTATCCCAAATGCAAGGACCTGAACAACACGGATGGTAACAGGCCCAGATCTGGGGGAACTGGCCCTCCAGAGGCAGATGCCGCTTGATGACATTTGATGATTTGATGAATGACATTTGGTGGATGGTATCGACAAAAAACGTGAGCCGCATTATGTGGGTCGCCTCGCGTATGCGAGCGCAAAAAATATACACACTGTTCGTGGGGTATTTGAAACCAGTGCTGTTAGATCTAAGAAGCCGGAACAGATCAAGGCGTGGCACCAGTTGCATGATGTAGTGGAATGAAGAGGTTTCAAATCATTAAGCTGTCATAAAACTCCCCGACTCATAGGCGCGCCAGTGATAAACAGGGAAGCGGAAAAAGTCCTTTATTGAAGGAAGTGCTCCACATTTCTATGTGGTTTTGAATTAGAACAGCCATCTTGCAAACCTTGCGGTGCAGTCCACATCCATGCCCTTCTTAAGACCTAAACCACTCTAGTTTCTGAGCTACACGCTCGCAAAAATGGAGAATATTTCGGGGGAGTACTTCAAGGTGATTTCGACATTCGTGACGTCAGAAAAGCGTCATTAAAATTCTGCTATTCCATAAGTCATGCGACGATAAAAGCTAAGAAAAATCCAATGGTCGGATCGTTTTTATCTTGCGTTTGTTAGCACGATTTCCACGTACAGCGGCCGCCAATTGGCCGTCAATTAATGTCACGCAAGGTACGATGGCCTAATCAAACAATAACGTTCCGGGGAGCAAATTTACTGAGCAGACAAAGCGTGCTGTCAAGAGCAGTCTTTTCTTTTGCAAAGGGGACCAATAGTAATCAATGAGTTTGTTTCATCATATTTGATGTTTGCTTCAATATCTTCAAATGTGAAACTTGCCGTTTAAATCCCTGCTAAGTGCGACACACTGTGAAAGCGAGAGATTTGGGATCATAAACCTGACACGGATGTAAATCCCAGCTTGAATCCGTCCTTTAGGAAACTTGCGTACGACAGCGCCTCGGAAAGTCAGAATTCAAATGTTTTGGCTAGACTCATTCGTGTGGGCTCCGAAATGGTTCTTCATATCATTAGGAGCTGGTATGGGAAAGCGGTCATGACGCTTCTTTTTTGCTTCATGATTTGTCTTTATTAAAGAGTACGTTTCAGAACAAGGAAAAATATGTATTTGCGAACGACTCATTTAAATATGTCGTGGCCGGGGCACATCTGTGCAAACGGAACGCTTGCGTGTTATTATGCCAAGGGCGGGGTGTTGTTCCAAGCTATTCACGACATTCATTGTTGCATTAATTTAAAACATTTACCAAGCACTTAGGAGATCGCCGACAAATTTGCACGGGTAGAACAACGTTTCTCAATACCATGGCCTATTATGGCTCCCTGGTCGCGTGTCTGGAGCGGATCGTTCAACGACCTCGTTCCCGTTAGCGTTGCCTTCGGCATACTGAGGAAAAGAAATACCACTGTGAGAATTGATGGCTGCGACGGCATCAGCGATTTGTCAGCCTGGCTTGAGGTAATCACCATTACGTGACTGGGGAGGGGCCGTGTCCGGCGTTACAGTTATCGTTAATGTGCATGAGATATGCCTAAAAGCTAAGATACCGTTGTTGGTAAGCTGTATGAAATGTGTTTCATAACTTTCAGGTGTGCTATTGACTCGTTGGTGCTATATTCTTGTCACTGAGCCGAAAAATAATCCATCGAAATCGATCCATTCCCTTCACACAGCGTTCTTTGTAACGCCAAGTTTTCTGCACACCTAGCGGCTGGCAGGGGGGGGGGGGGGCGGCGGCGAGGGGGGAATCACATTTCAGGCCGGGGATTTTATTCAGGGGCCTCGTGGACGTGACGCTCAACGCTCGCCCTGAATCGACTTTTTTCATATCACCAACATATATGTGGTGTGGGTTTGATATGACCCCCTGCTGTTTTTAAATCAAGAAAGATAAAGCTCTGCGAAAAAACCCATGGATTTGTCTCCACGGGAACTTACGATTGGTAATAATTTGCATGTTCTTAGGTGAAAACTTGTTCCCGCTCATGCGTGCCAGAGCTTTTCCTGAAAACCGAGCTATTTCAGACTTGCATGCCAGTATTAACAAAGCCATGGCGCGCAGCAACAGTAAAGTTAAACAGACGTGTTCCCTTTCTAATCTGAACGCGCCGTGGGGTAGTTTTGTATGGCTTGATCGTCTATTCGTGATGCAGAGCTTCATGAATGTAGCAGCGTCGGCCCGTCGCACGCAAATGGCGGATTCATCGGTTCTTAAAAAACCTGATTGACTGAAACTGGGACAGCTAGAGGCATATGTTTGGTGTCAAAACGCGCCCAGTTAATGGCTCAGAGGCTGCTGACATCTTGGGGGCACGATTGCACGATATACTGGAGAACGATATTCAAGAAACCTTTTGTGGGTCGCCACTTCCCCTTCATCCATGAGGAAGGAAAATAAATCGCTGAAAGAAGCCATACTTCTTTACTAGTTAATGGTTAAGGCATTGTATGACTTATGTGTTCTGCATGTCTTCGTGTAAATTAATGCTGCCACATGTGCATGCAGTGCCGGCATATTTGTCAGCTGTGTGATCTATAGCAGTCGATGCGCCCTCCCCCCCCCCCCAGCACACTTGTCGGGTGAGGGAAGCCATTTGTCGGGCATGAGAATGAAGCCTTAACACGCACTCGGGTGGGCGGGGGGGGGGGGGGTCAAATTAACCCCTCGCCCCCCGAAGGTTTTTCCAGAATGGTTTGCGAACTGCGCAGCGACGCCGCGCCAAATTTTGCATAGCTGTAGAAATTGAATAACGGATCGTTGGACATAAAAAATTTAGATGCATCTTGAAAGGTTGCTGATCTATGGCAGGTCAAGGTCAGGCCATGGTTTCAGCGAAGGCAGTTTCTAGGGAATCGTCCAATCTGACACAATAACGGAGTGTTTGTTGAAGCCATACATCTCTGAAATGCTTTCTTAGGAGCCACAAATATTGAATGAGCAAATTACGTTGATCAAGGTCAGGTATGAAGGTCAGACCAAGGTCACAACCAACCTGATTTATTACTCTAGGGCTTGCTGTATGGGATAGTTTGTGATGCTCATTTCGAATTTATTGACAGTAGGTACCGCATTATGCATCTTCCATTGACTTCTAAGAGGTCAGAAAAGGCCCAAGATGACCCCGGGTGGATAATTTGTTCTAGGAGCATACTGCCTAACGTTATGTTTGTCGCTTATTCAAATGCAAAACTCAGAGCAGTCTTGTATTATTTTAGTCACCACGGCCTTCAAAAGGTCAAACAAGATCACTGATCTCAAAGGAGCTTTTGACCTTTTGCTTAGAAACAGTTGCCTAGGTTCTGGGGGCACTTTGGAGACCAATCTGGAATTTGACTTTGTTTGACCTTATTTGACCTGAAGATCATCACCTAGGAAGCCCAAGCTTTTACCTAAGTGAGTCCACGTACAGGTCAAGAGACCCTGTAAATTTGGTATCTCTAGCTTTCTTAATTCCCGAGATCTCAGGGGAGTCAATTTGCTCCCCCCCCCGCACCCGAACGAAGGGTATCTGGCCGGCCAGCCGGGCGCATGTTAAGATTTCACACACAAACTACGGAGGAATGTCGCATGCGTTCTACCCTCTTGGGGTGCCACAAAGCACGGGCTTCAGATATGGATTTTCTACGAAAAATAACAAGTGATTATTATGCTGGGCTTGTCTGCGCGGTTTGGGAGTGCCTTTTCAAATCGGACGCAGCATGATTTCGCTCCTCCTGATATAAATGACGATGCTGCCGCCGCTTGTGTTGTCGCCTCGCTCGCCGCACGCTGCGCAAGGTGCATCATTAGTGTAAGTGTATAAATCTGAGCTGTCAAAAGAAAATACTCTTCTCTCAAAACAAATTTCGGCTTGTCTCTCGTGGAAAGTCCCAAACTGGTCCTGTCCACGTCCTTGGAATCGATGCACTGGTTCGGTCGGTGGATGTACGACGTGTACTGCAGGCGATTGAAGACGAGATGACCCGCGTCTCCTCGCTGCCACGCTGATCCCGCTTCTCAGCCCGGCCGCTCCGGGAGCCGCAGCCACCGTCGGGTGGGCCAGAACTGGCCGACCGATCACTGCCATGTATATGCATCATCCCTCCACCCCAGCCGCCCAGCCTACAACGCCCGAGCCACAGGGCGGGCGTGACCTGACCGAGTGTGACTGGTCTGCCACAGCGGTGCAGTACCGGCGGCTGCGGCCGCTGCCGGCCTGTGAGCGGGACGACGAGGCCGTCACCCCGCCCTGGTGGCGCCTCCTGGCGGACCGACGCATCAACATCGTGGCCGGCGCCGTCGGTCTCTCCACCTCCGTCATGGCTATCCTGGAGCCCACGCTTCCCGTTTGGCTCATTAACACCATACACCCACAGGTACGGCACGCTACAACCGCAGGTACAGCCAGAGGTGGCACTCTCTAAAATTGGGGGAGGGGGGAGGGGCGGCATTCGACCGGACAATCAACCGCCTGCAGCAGGTGCAGGTGTTGTGCACCTTGAACTTCCAATGGGCCCACCTGGAGCACCTTTTGTTGTGACAGTTTGACGTGTATAGGATCACTGATGAATTCCGCTGTCGCTGGCTGTGGTGTACCAATCAGCCGGAATTCAAATACCACCATAGTCACGATCATGCGATAAATAAACCCGCCACTGTTGAGAGAAACACGGTTTGACTTTTAAGTGGGTAGCCCTGTAATTTTTAAAGCTGTCACACATTGCGGCCAATTGTTCTTTATACCGATTCAGATATTGTCATGTGCAAAACTCGCCAAACATTTGCAGGCCGGCCGACAATCTGACGGAGTTGCATGAAAAAAATAGGAGGCTACAAAATACTCTTTGGAACAAACTTGACGTGATACTGATAATGATGCGTCTGGATACTTAGTGTACTAAAAGTTAATACAACTTCCGAGCATTTCTGTGGCCAATTATTCTCTTTTTGCTGATAAGCATGGAGGGGCTCAGAGGGGTGTTAGAGGCTCAAATTAGCGCTGGGGAGGCTCAATTTTCCCCCAAAGCATAGAAGTACAGCACTTTCACCCCTGAGTACAGCGCGTACAGCCCTGGATCCCGTACCTACACATGCAGGTGTTGCACACTACACCCACAGGTACGGCACACTACACGCACAGGTACGGTATCCTTCACCCACAGGTGCGGCACACGGCAATGACAGGTGCGGCACAAAGGCACCCACAGGTGTGACTAGCTTTACACGATAAATAGGGCAGGACGACGGCCACAGACGACACACGGTACAGCCTCAGGTAGACACCAGCGTGCCCGCAGGTGGGACACCCCACGCCGATGGACACGGACCGTCATACCCCAGGTGTGATAAGTAACGGACCGTCAGACCCCAGGTGTGATGAGGAACGGACCGTTCAGACCCCAGGTGTGATGAGGAAAGGACCGTCATACCCCAGGTGTGATGAGGAACGGACCGTCAGACCCCAGTGTGATGAGGAACGGACCGTCAGACCCAGGTGTGATAAGGAACGGACCGTCAGACCCCAGGTGTGATAAGGAACGGACCGTCTGACCCAGGTGTGATGAGGAACGCCCGCAGGCGTGACACGACACACCTACCGGTATGGATGTTTGCTGTGAGTGTGCACACTACACTACACTACTACACTTCACCACGCACGCTTCACACCATTAATTACACTTCACGCTACACACAGTACACATACTCATTGTGAGTATCAACTACTACATCCAGAAGTATGGTGCACTTTTACGACCAGCATGGCACACTGCATACCCAGGCCAGCCACGCTACACCCATCATGGAACGCTCCACACCCGCGTGCACGACACGCTACACCCGAAGGCCTCGATTCGTTTTACTCTAGGTACAACTCGGTCCTCCCACACGTTAAACAAGATACACCAGCAAATGGCCTGTCATGAACCGGGCTCAGGGGCTCAACATCGTTCAGTCGGAAATGCAGTACTTTGCATTCGTAACTTCAACTTCAGCGAGTAAGCGACCATCCGAATAAGATATTGAGCGTCTTGTAGGAGCTCTTTGGAGCAGGCGTTGTTTGTTTACTTAACGTACATTTGCAAGCGTCGGTGAGCTGGCGCTGACCTATTGCATCAAACGAACCAAACATCCCGGCAACTAGTGAACTTCAACTAGTGAGCAACTTGACTAACGAACCCGTTAACACACGATCTGACGGGACATCACATAGTGGTCGCTCTCGAGAACGCGGTGGCCTGTATTTGTCGAAGCACTAGGAAACCTTTCGCTACGCCCGCGGCACCCATATGCATCCACCACGACGGGTCTGCACCGGCCACCACACCCTGTGGCCGGCCTGCGTCTCACGCAGCCAGCAGCTCTATGACCGCCGCGCCCCTGAGACCCGCCCGCGTCGCACGCAGCCAGCAGCAGCGGCCGAGTGATGCGCCGCCCGCCCCGTCCCGTCCCGTCCCGGCGCCGGTGTCGGCGCAAAACAGCGCCATGAATCGGACAGGATGTCAACCGGCGGCGTGCGTTACGACGCACCCCGTCCAGCGCGTCTCAGACGGCGGGCCGCACCGGGCCAGGCGGCGCCGACACGGTCCGGAACGGCACGAGTGAACCGCGCCGCCGGCCGCCGGGAAAAGCGGTGCCGAGCGCGTATCTCTGGTTGACTTCTGCGACGGCGCGGTAGTCCTGCGGCTAATCTGTGTCATGATCCGTTGTTGGGTTCAGGGTCGGGTACCGGATAAACTTGTGTCATCAGAACGTCTGATCTCATTGGCAGTGGTAATACGGCTAGGCCTACCCGCCAAGTTCTCTGACTATCGCTGACCGCGGTGATTTCTCCCCCTTCGCCAACTGCGAGGCTGGGAGGGGAGGGGGGGGGGGGGGGCTGGCACGATAACCGGCGTGGGCTGGTGCTGGCGGGAAAGTGGTTGCCACATGAACTGAACCGAAAGTATCTGCTGTAGAAGCAAAAGAAGTGGTTCACCTATATTGAGTGTTAAGGGCGCCAGCCAAGATGCTGTAAATTCAACTCTATGTTCTGATTTCTGTTGCCGAAATACAATAGCGATGCAGAACATTACGCTGAATCTATCAGCCGGTGGTATGATCCGGTTTTGCAGTATGAGGTAAGGACACATGTGATGTGCGTTAATTGAGTTTTGTCGTTTGCTTTGGAAAGAAATCGTGATTCGATCCATCCTTGGGAGAACAGGACCTAAAAGGTGAGTGAACATTCTGTTAGAATGGAATCGGAAGTAACGAAACCAGTACGGGTGCTAGCCTTTTAATACTTCGCTCTGAGTACTATGGTATGGATGACCTACCAGCTGGTGTCAAACAAAGCCAGATAACGCCTGTTCATCTAAACGACGCATCATACTTCGACAGAGTAAAGACAGCTGGCATAGCGTAAGGACGATGGTCATCCCATGATTCATATAGCGTAAGGCCGTCTCTCATCTCATGATTCACTACAGTGTAAGGTCGTCTGTCATCCCATAATTCATTACGCCTTTTGCCCCGTTTCCGACTCCGAGCTTGCAAAAGCCACCTCTCGCACTAAAAATGTGACGGTGATCTACCGTCAAAACGTTTCCGTAAACAAATTTGCGGGACCCAACGGAGAAGACCACCGTCAAATCATTTGCGTCGAGGACCACCAAAAGGTCCACCACTTCTTACGCACTATTTCAGTCACAGAGTAAAAACGACGATTCCTCAGGCATCAGTATCATCCACACTCGGCTGCTGAGTTATTTCAACACACATCCCACATTACGCATGGCTTATCGCATTATCACTCGCGATAAAGTCACTGCCTACCGGCGTCTGGGAAAAGACGCAGCAGAGACAGACGGGGCAGAGGCTCCTCAATCGAGAAGTTAATGGTCCCTTGGCCGAATAGCCACTCCAACCCCCTCCAAACTAGCACCAAAATTTGCATGTATAGATACCTCTCCGACGAATTGAAATGCAACAATGATGCAACAGCTATGCAACATGGATGAGCCCTTACGAGATACACAGACGTAGTTCCTGGATCATTAAGGAGCTTGCTGTCGTGAAATATGGCCCCTGTATAGAACAGAATGGACTAAATCTGGTAATAGCAGAAGCCTCGGGGAGCGGAATGGATCCGCTGGCTCCCTCGGGTACGCAGACCGTCTGAAAAACCTCCGTCTCCCTCAGCGACATTCTGGCTGCGTGTTTTGCGAGTAGGTAATGCACTTGTTGTCTGGGTCACCACGAGGCCGCTTGTATGTGTGTCATGTCATTGGGGCTTTACGACGCACTCAGCTACTGGGCTATATGGGCGTCGCCTGCCTCTCATCCTGGCAGGAAGGGCGGGCACCGCGGGCATGAGGCCGCTTGACTCGCTCTGTGTCGCCACACCCGTACCGTGTGTGCAACAGCCGGATTGGGCCGTGTTGAAGTGTGCGGCCCTGCGCGCCGGCAGAAAGAAGTGGCAGGCTGGGCTCCGTCTTCATCCCGGACGTCTGGGCTACCTGATCGGCACGCACGTGTTCGGGCCTCGTCGCGCTGCGGCTCGGCCGCTGGCGGGTGGCCGCCGCCGCCATGATGACGTCGGAGCGGCGGCCCTGCTGGTGAGGCCCGCCGACAGGGCGCAGGACGGATGAGGCCTGCCGACAGGGCGGCAGGACGGATTGAGGCCCGCCGACAGGAGGACGCAGGACGGATGAGGCCCAGCCGACGGGACGCAGGACGGATGAGGCCCGCCCGACGGGGCGCAGGACGGATGAGGCCCGCCGCGACGGGACCGCAGGACGGATGAGGACCGCCGACAGGGCGCAGGGCGGATGAGGCCCGCCGACGAGACGCAGGACGGATGAGGCCCACCGACAGGGGTGCAGGACGGACCGCCGACGGGACACAGGACGGATGAGGCCCGCCGACGGGACGCAGGACGGATGAGGCCCGCCGACGGGACGCAGACGATGCTCGGCTAGATACGGCTCCGGGCAGGCGGAGCCAAGTGGCAGTCATAGAGTGTTATTTACTTCGGCGTCTATATAGTGTCTTCTTTTGTTGGTTGATTTCTGGGACATTCCGCAAGTCTTCTCGTAAATGGGGTTGTTTCGGAAATTAAACATACAGCTGAACCAAAATTTACACGTTCTCGTCTCAGAGCTGCTCAAAATTTGGTAACGTAAAGTCATCTCGGTTGTACTGATCGTTTTGGAGTTGGAGCCCGGTCTCGTCACGGGGTCAAGTTGTGGATGTTATGGACTTTTCGGGGTATGTGAATGTGGGCCCACCACAAAACTTGTTAAAAAATAATACCGAATTAAAAGATTATCAACACAGTTTCCCAAACCACAAGGAGCAGAAAAATCTTAAGAGCACTGGGAGCTTACTTGGATCCATGCTTCTTGAGTTTTGTTCATGGAGACCCTATCTCTGGACAGGGTCATCATTGTAGCCCTCCTAGGCTCATAGTAGCTCACCGTTTATATGGCTTGGGGTAGCGTCTTGAAAGCTCCTGACCATTCCCAACATTTATTGCGCATGCTTTTGTTTACTCTGTACTTGACAACCATTCGCCACGGCTATGGCAGACGTTGTCAGATGGTGTGCAACCCCTCACTTGTTCACCGGCAACAGCCGAGGTCCGAGCGCTCAGTAAAAGCCAGTCACGGCCTTTCGCGTTCAGCTGGCATCATAGCCCACTTAACAACACAAATCAACCTTCAGAGCTACCCTGCTAGCTCTTCCCCACACCGACACACATTGTGTACATGTACTGGCACCGACGGCTAAATTCGACTATATAGGGTTGTTTCTGGGACGTTTTTCAGGCTTTTTGCTCGTCTCGCAATGTTAAGGCATTTAATTTGTGTCGTAAGTTCGATAAACTTGTAAAATTAGCATGCATTTCACCAAGTTAACGGCGGAATCAGTTTATATTTCCTCAGCAGTCACACACCACACACACACCACACACACACCCACACACACCACACACACCCACACACACACACACCACACCACACACACCACACACACACCACACACACCACACACACACCACACACACACACACACCCACACCACACCCCACACCCCACACCCACACCACACACACACCACACACCACAACACACACCACACACACACAACACACACCCACACACACACCACACACACCACACACACACCCACCCACAACACACCCACCACACACACACACACCACACACACACACACACCCACACACACACACCACACACACACACACACACCACACACACCACACACACAACCATATATATATATATATATATATATATATATATAATATATATAGGTAGATAGATAGATATGGATATGGGTTTATATTAAGTCAACACGCATATCTGCAGGTGTATAATACAGGCTTGCACAATTCGGTATTGACATTTGAGATATGAAAACCTTTGTAGAAAACAACACGTGCATATGCTTTAGATCAATGCCCATGGATTTAAGGACATGAGTTATGATTATCGACATAAACAGACCTAACATTCATGACTGAATGTGTCAGTATATATCTGTTGTCCTGAATAACGTAGTTTCTAGAAGTGGTCGGGCCCTCAAAAGTTGTCTTATTGTCAGTCATCCGTTCAAAACTAATGACGACGACGCCTCCTTGCATTTTCAGCCATGAACATCCCCGGCCGGCGGAAGTCAGCCAGTCTCGATTGCAGTGCCTTGACCATTTTCATCCTGTATCATCCCTCACCTGTCAGCCGATGGTCGGACTGTCGTGATCATTTTCCTCCGCTCGGATTGTTATGGTATAACTGCAGCGAATCAAGGGCCCCAGTGTCAGTTTGCCCGTCTTCCGTCCAGAAGAGGTCTTGGCGCTGAATGCAGGGCGGTGATAGCACGTTGCTGAATGCGGCAAGCGGGGCCGTGAGCGTCGTGGCCAGCATACCGTGACACGGGAAAATACTTTTGGATCACGCCCCAGAGAGCACAACCGCATGCATTTGTTAGCACCGCGGTAGGGCCATCAGTTGGCGCAGGAACGTGCCTGTCAGCTGAGGGCCTCCTTTTTATTGGGTTGACCATCTAACCGCGTGTCACTCAATGCTGGCGCTGGCCGCAGCAGTGATTTGTAAAGATACGGCGGCCAATTAAGCATAGTTATTGTCACACGTGACGGATGCAGCCGTATATATATATATATATATATATATATATATATATATATATATATATATTACAATGCTGCGGGACACCATCGGACGTCAACATCACTGACGACGTCATGATGTCAGATATTGTTCTCAGAAGAATGCAAAGGCGTGAGTGAATTCCTCGGTTTTCTTCTATTCTGGTGGCATACCAGTTTGCTTTCTTGTATGTTTCAGTATTCTTTTAATACACCATTTGTCATGAACTGCATCCGCTAGCCCCGAAAAGATTGTGACGTCTTCAGCCTGATCCCGTCACCTGACTGAGACAAGTAATGTATCTAGATGACACAATGTACCAAGTTCAAAGTAAGTATGAGAATGCGGCAAGCGGGCCGTGATGAATGCGGCAAGCGGACAGCTCTGTACGACTTTTCCTTCAACGCCTAAGTGCCAGATTCGTATACACGCATGCAGCACGCTGCATTCATGGTCCGAAGCTCGTATCACATCTTGCCTTCCCCACGCTTTAGTGTCGGGGAACTCCGGTGCCTGCTTGGCATGCACCGTCCCTCGCCGTTCCACTCCGTCACGTATCGCTCTGTGCAGTCCACGCCAGCCAGTGTCGTTCATACATGACGTCCTGTCCGTGCCGGCCCGTGCCACCGCGAGCTGGCCCGTGCCATCACGCACTGCCCCACACCGTCCCGAACTATTCCCAGCCATAGCATGCGACTTCGCGCCGTCCCGTGCCGTCTCTTACGATCATGTACCATCCGCTGTCGTTATTCACCGTCCCATACCGTGCCGCACCGTGTGATCACGTGCCTTTCACGTGCCGTCCCTTTCTATAATGTACTGGCTCGGTCACGTGGCGTCCCGTGTCGTCCCCCGCCGCAGCTACCACAGTCGACGCGCATGGTACACCTCGTGCTGCCGCACTTCTGCATCGGCCTGGGCATCGGCATCGTGGACGCGTCGCTGATGCCGCTGCTGGCGCGGCTGGTGGAGCGGGGTGGCCTGCAGGCCAGCTACGGCACCGTCTACGC